GCCCTATGTATCTAGCTCTGATACATAAGACATTCTTTTAGTGTAGGAAAATGTAACGTTCGTTATGCTTTACAGTTCGTGCTTTCCGTTACTGTGCGCCGTGGCCCCTGTGCCGACCGGCTGTAAGGAGGCCCCTCGCCGGGATGAACTAGACGGAATCGCCATCCTGAGGGGAGCGACCTCGACGTGATCGAGGAGTCCCGTACGGAAGGGACGACAAAGCTCTTCGACATGGAGAAACGTGCCAACGACATCGTCTTTCAGAGTCTGGGTCTCTGTAGGAGGAGATGATCAGCTATTCCTCAGCGTTATCAGGAGCGCTTCTGAGTGAGTAGATGGTAGATATGTCGTATTGTATGATGGAAGAAATACAGTGGATTATTGAAAATGGACAAAATGAATAAAATCAAGTTAGATTTTATACTCTCTATATAGAAGTAAATCGTTTGTTCGTAAGGCAGGTACACCGCTCCTGACAGGCAAGCACGACATCCACTTCCAGTACGTAGCTGACGGAACGGGATTCCAGCCACAGGGGTGACCACCTGCCAGTGGCTCCCGAGTTCCCCCACCCGATCCCTCAGTTCGTCCTCGACCAGATCGCCTTCGCCGCCGAGGAGGACGCCCGCCAGGCCCGCGGAGAGGTCTCCCGCTCCTATGGTGCTCCTCGTGATGACTAATCAACTTATCTCGATTTCGACAGTTACATAAGTAAAAGATTATATGTATGTGTAAGCAGTTTATTTATTGTTATAGGAATAAATTTGGCGTTGTATTTCACCTGCGTTTCAGTCACATAGTGAAGTTACACTTAAATATAAACTCAAACAAGAAAAACTAAAAATACATATATATGTGTGTGTATGTATGCATATATATACCTCTACTTATCAGTCAATCTATATATCTACCCTCTATCTATTCATATAAAGAGAGAAATGCGAACAGCGTAATATATGAATATATATTCGTGCATACATATAGACTTTTACAACGTTTGTAAACAAAGCAATTTTATTGGAAGGATCATGTTATCAATTCTTATACAGTTCCTTTACACCTAAACGTTCGGTCATTGCCTTCACAGTATTTCTAGATTGTTTATTTTAAATCATCTGCTGCGTCAACAGCTGAAGTCATTAGAGGCAAATACCTTGTGGAATTAAAATGTTAAAATTAAAGATCGAAGGCGTCTTCGGCAGTTTGATTACATTGCTGGTCCCATAGAAAAACACAGTAAGACGGTGACCATCTTTTCTGTTGCCATACGTAAAATGTGGATGTCATAATCAATTTGTCACTATGGCGTAGAATGGAAGGTATAAAACAGTTGCTCATATATCATAGTACGTGTTCGCAACTATGACATCATAGTTATGAAATCAATGTCCACAAAATCAGTTAATGTATAAACGTGTGTGTTTGTGCATGTGTATAACTTGTGTATAAAAAGAGAGACATGAGGAAGGGAGAAAGAAGGAAATATTATGCTTTTATGTTTTGATGTGGTTATGAATACATTCATATATAATGTTCATATTGCTTATTGAACTCGGTAATTTCCTATGACATAAAGAAAGATAAAAGAGATAATATACAGTTTAGTAACACAATATGAACATATCTTAAAGTATAATAGATCATATGTACATAAATGATAATGTATCCTTTAATAAAGACACCTATCAACAGATCATCAACAAAAATCAGTCGTTTACGAGATTTAGCCATTCTTTAGAGCACCATATGACCGTGAAATCTAATTATTTTTCGAGCGTCTTTCTCAGTGAAGAAATTGATCGCAGGGATACAGAGGGATCGGTCTGGGCGAACTCGGGACCCACTGGAAAGTGTTCACCCAGTGCATGGAAGTGATTCTCGTCAGGTACTTACTGGTAATAGACGTTAGTGCCCTCAGGAGTAAATGCCTGTCATTATAGCAGGAATATATATGTATATATATGTGTCATAAGACGCTTTATAGAACGTGAATCTGTTTATCACATCATATTACTGGGATTTATCTGTCTATAAGCACACATATCATTCATATACATTGCATGTACAGAAGATTCACATTTGTGGCTTGGTTAATAAGAAAACTATAAAGTCAGAATATGGTATATTTATTTGTATAGCTGTACATAGGAGTTGGTCTGCATTAGCAGACGATTTAATCTGTCTGTTTATAATGTAATTATAAATAGCACAAGATCGGCGGTCAAGAGAGAGTTACTTAATGACATGTTCAGTCATCACGAGGAGCACCATAGGAGCGGGAGACTTCCCCACGGGCACTGCGGGCGTCCTCCTCGGCGGCGAAGGCGATCTGGTCGAGGACGAAGTCAGGGATCGGGTGGGGGAACTCGGGAGCCACGGGCAGGTGGTCACCCTGTGGCTGGAATCCGTTCTCGTCAGCTACGTACTGGAGGTGGATGTCGCTGCCGTCAGGAGCGGTGTACCTGAAATGAATAGTGATTAGTTTTTGATATCTCGATCACTGTCAGAAGGTTGTGACTGCCATTTTAAATATTACTCAAGTAAATAAACGACTTATTCAAACATTTACTCACGAAAAGGAGCCAGCACTGTTGATGCCTCCCTCGTTTCCAGGAGAGCCAGACTCGGACATGACGATTCTGTTGGCAGTCTCCACGTCGAAGTTGTACCTTCCGTCGTCCTCGATCACGCGGTCGTCCCTCAGGATGGCGACCTCGTCGGAGTCATCCCGGGCTGGGGGCGCGTACAGCCGGTCGGCACAGGCCACGGCGACGAGGAGGGCGAGCACTGCCTGTAACACATGATGAATTAAGATTTTCCAATTGTGGGCTGAAAATTTTCCATTTAGGGCCTGAAAACTATTTGAGTTGAAAGGCCAATTGTGGAAAATTTGACTTACAATCTTCATGTTGAACGAACTGTATGTCACTGATGCTTGTATTAGAATGCTCTACTTATATTGTAAGGAGGATCCAAGTTGCCACTTGTCTTCATCAGTATAAGCTTTGCCTTTATACTTGTGATGTAACTTCTTCCAAATATGGATATATTATTTTACATCACAATATACCGATTTCTTTCAGGATTTGTTTAATTCTGGGATATTATACAGATTCTCTCTCTCTCTCTCTCTCTCTCTCTCTCTCTCTCTCTCTCTCTCTCTCTCTCTCTCTCTCTCTCTCTCTCTCTCTCTCTAAGCGATTTGTTCAAATCTTTCAGGTTTATACTCTTCCACTTAGTGCTTCACTTTATGATCAGAATATAAAGCTTAGAATATGGTGAAAAAAAGAATTAGATTTAGATGATTTTAGAAAATGTACATATATATATGTAAACTATATTTCTGTCTTCCCTGTTTGAAATGATAACCCTGTATACCAGAAGATTAGCGATAGAAAATAAAAGATAACGTGAAGTATTTTAATGAATCTGTAGTTTACAAGGGTTGATATATATGTGAAAATTTTAAAATAAGGATGATAATGATATTTCACAAAATAAAAAAATTTTAATAAACATACGTATTTACCAGTCATTTATACTGGAATTACAGTATATTCGCTATATATGATTTCAAGATCATATTCTAAGAAATGAAAAAAAGGATATAGCATTTTGATAAATTAGGGAATGGGTGTAAAAAAAAGAAATGAAAAAATAGACCTACAACCTCAAACACGAGGAAAACAAGCATCCAAAGAAGATACCTTTCTTTAGAGAGTCAATTTCGATATTCTTATAGTAATAATAATAATAATAATAATAATAATAATAATAATATAATAATGATAATAATAATAATAATAATAATAACAAATGGAAAGAGAGGTACAACCGCAAAATATGTTAGTAGCCTCTTAAAAAAACAGAAATATACTTGTAATTCCAGTATAAATGACATGTTTAACATAATTTATAGCAGCCAGAAAATTAGCATGAAAGGAAGGATGAGGCAAAACGTAAAATAACGTTAGATATAGTCATGGGGGAATACAAAGATGGCGATTTTCACATCCGGGGAAAAGATACATGATATGATACGAGACAAGAAGCAGTTGAGAAGTAACCACAAAAGTGCAGTATATCGCATACCCTGCAGCAGTTGCGATAAGGTTTACTTTAGTGAAACGGGACAAGGCTTCAACACCAGGATCAACGAACATCGAGCCGACGTCCGTCACCACAGGATTTCCAATGCCATGGTAGTTCATGTAGATGAAGCTGGACATCTACCGAACTTGAAGGAAGCTGAAATAATTAATGAAGGATTGAACAAACATAAAAGGAAGGTCATGGGAGCTGTATACATCGCGACAAAGAAGAATATGAACACCGTATCTGGCAGATTTAAAGTATCAAGGTCAGTTGATTTATCAGCTCCCAGGTAATATACATGCTATGTTTGCTCTTATGAAAATGAAACTAGCCACAATGTGAATTGAAAATAAGCGTGACGCTTTCGAACTCTTCACGAATTCCTCTTCAGAGAAAAACCGAAATGGATCAATTTCGTTTTTTTTTTTTTTCTGAAGAGGAACTCGTGAAAAGTTCGAAACGTCACGATTATTTTCAATTCTCTTTTGTGCTAGTTTCCTTTTTTTCGTACACGTTATGGTGTTTGTGCTTGTGTTTATTTGCTCTTGTGTATGTATATCTGACGAAGATATAATCGAAACCGAAATCTTGTATTGTGAAGATATCAATCTCATTCATATCTTTTCTACATTTGTCAACATGAATACGGTTCATATATAGGCATATAGAGATATAAAACTAGCACACACACATATAATACATCTATATATATGTATATATTAAATATATATATGTAATATATATATTATATATATTATACATATTATATTATACATATATGCATATATATGTGTGTGTATGTGTGTGTGTATGTATGTAAATATACCTATATACATATATGTATACATACATACACACATGTATATACAGACATATATAGTAAATGCACATGTGCGTGTGTATGAGTTACGTATAGATGCCTTCGGTGTTTGTGCATGAGACCAAAAGTGTAGAATAAATACGTTCCATCTAACAGGACGAAAGGCTGATACCAAAGCCTTTTGCATTAGGCATTACAAGGACCTTTGAGAAAGAGAAAGGCATATATAACATACAATTTATGCATAAACAGATCAAGGACTAAACTACATCAATAGATATATACATTCATAAGATCAGTATCAACAGATCGACAACGTGAACTATCAAGTCGATGTTTAAGGGCTTCAATCACGAGGAGCACCGTAAGAGCGTGAAATATCTCCGCGGGCGTTGCGGGCGTCTTCCTCTCTGGCGAACTCGATCTGCCTGAGGACGAAGTCGGGGATCGGGTGGGGGAACTCGGGGGCCACAGGGAGGTGGTCACCCTGTGGCTGGAAGCCGTTCTCGTCAGCCACGTATTGGAGGTGGATGTCAGTGCCGTCAGGAGCGGTGTACCTGTCACGGACAAGGACATTAGTATGCAGTATGTATTCGAGGAGTTAGGTAATAGTTTTAAGGCGTAACTAGTATATTATGAATTTTTATACTTTTTAAATATTCTAACATTCTAATCCTACAAGCTATTCGCCGATAATGACCTTATCTGATACATTTAAATCATTATCGAATGTAGGAGTCATATTACTACGAAATCCTGAAATTTAAAAGTGTAATAACCCAAAAGTCCAAACCATCTAAGGTTACGTACGAGAAGGATCCGGCACTGTTGATGCCTCCATCTTTTCCAGGAGAGCCAGACTCGGAAAAGACGATGCCGTTGGCAGTCTCCATGTCGAAGTTGTACCTTCCGTCGTCCTCGATCACGCGGTCGTCCCTCAGGATGGCGACTCGTCGGAGTCATCCCGAGCTGGGGGCGCGTACAGCCGGTCGGCACAGGCCACGGCGACGAGGAGGGCGAGCACTGCCTGTAACACATGATGGATGAAGATTTTCCAATTGTGGGCTGAAAACGTTTTGAATTAAAAGGCCAATTATGGAAAATGTGACTTACAATCTTCATGTTGAACGAACTGTATGTCACTGATGCTTGTATTAGAATGCTCTATTTATATTGTAAGGAGGATCCAAGTTGCCAGTTGTCATCATCAGTATACAACTTGCCTTATATACTTGTGATGTAACTTAATCCAAATATGGATATATCTTTTTACATGACAATATACCGATTTCTTTTGGGATTTGTTTAATTCTGGAATTTTATACGGATTCTCTCTCTCTCTCTCTCTCTCTCTCTCTCTCTCTCTCTCTCTCTCTCTCTCTCTCTCTCTCTCTCTCTCTCTCTCTCTCTCTCTCTCTCTCTCTCTCTAGCGATTTGTTCTAATCTTTTAGGTTTATACTCTTCACTTAGTGCTTCACATCGAATATATAGCTTGGTGGAAAAAATTAGATTTAGATGATTTTAGAAAATGTACATATATATATGTAAACTATATTTCTGCCTTCCCTGTTTGAAATGATAGCCCTATATACCAGAAGATTAGCGATAGAAAATAAAAGATAACGTGAAGTATTCTAATGACTCTGTTGTTTACAAGGGTTGATAATATGTGATTTTTTTTTTTTTTAATAACGATGATAATGATAATAAGATACATAAGACAAAGAATAATAATCAAATATTTCATAAAATGTCTTCAACGATAACTGAAATGAACTATTCTGAGATAACTAATACCAAGACAGTATAGTATACTATACTATACTATATATATATATATATATATATATATATATATATATATATATAATATATATAGTATACAGTATAGTATACTGATTAGCCGTCGATATTGTCTTGCGGAATCCAAAAAAGTGATCCGAGAAAATAAACGTAAATTTATAGCAGTGGTTCCCAAACTTTTCCAGGTTGACACCACATTAACTTCCATGTGGATTGCTAGCGCCCCCACCCCCTCCCCCTTATACGCACATACACAATATTAAACATAAGTATGTATTTCACAAATAAAAACAAATTTAATAAACATACGTATTTACCAGTTATGTGAAATGAAACACTTATTAACTGTTAATGCCATCCTGTCCCCCCCCCCCCCATGATCTTTCCACTGCTTACTTTGGGAACCAATGATCTAGAGGTTCTGGAGCTTTAACAAGTCTCCAAAACATTCGAAATAGAAAGGATGAATGAGAGAAAATTCTTGATGGTGTTAAAGAGTTGCTCATTTTAAGGAGCGACTGGAAAAGGGTACGCCTCTGAGCTGAGAGAAATCTATTACATCATTATGTTAAACTATTTAAGGGCAAGTATTAAGTGCTTTAGGAAGCATGTCACTTCGGCCAAAAAGTTTGATATTCGCTATATATGATTTCAAGATCACATTCTAAGAAATGAAAGAAAAGGATGTAGCATTTTGATAAATTAGGAATGGGTGTAAAGAAAAGAGAAAGAAGAAGTAGAAAAAAATAGACCTACAACCTCAAACACGGAAAACAAGTATCCAAAGAAAATACCTTTCTTAAGAGATTCAATTTCAATATTCCTATAATAATAATAATAATAATAATAATAATAATAATAATAAGTGGACAGAGAGGTACGACCGCAAAAAAATGTTAGTAGACTCTTAAAAAAAACAGAAATGCACTTGTAATTCCATTATAAATGACATGTTTACCATGATTTATAGCAGCCAGAAAATTAGCATGAAAGGAAGGATAAGGCCCAGAAAATTACGTTATATATAGTTATGCGGGAATACAAAGATGGCGATTTTCACATCCGGGGAAAAGATACATGATATGATACGAGACAAGAAGCAGTTGAGAAGTAACCACAACAGTGCGGAATATCGCATACCTGCAGTAGTTGTGATAAGGTTTACTTTAGTGAAACGGGACGTGGCTTCAACACCAGGATCAACGAACATCGAGCCGACGTCCGTCA